GCCTCCCAGGTTTAAGCAATTCTCATGCCTCAGCCTCCTAAGCAGCTGGGACTACAGACGCCCACCACCACACCACCCTAATTTTTGTATTTTTAGTAGAGACAGGGTTTCATCATGTTGGCCAGGCTGGTCTCGAACTCCTGACTTCAAGTAATCTGCCCACTTCGACCCCCACCAAACTGCTGGGATTACAGACATGAGCCACTGAGCCTGGCCTGAGTTTTGTTTTTTAAAAAATTCCAGTCCCTAACTCAGAAGGCTTTCCTCCTAATTCTCATCTATGAAATCACTGCATAAGGAAAGAAGCACAAAGGACTCCAGCTGTTCTGATGCTCTGCAGAATTAAACCAAGAATCTTTCTGGTCATTTTGTCATCATCAAGGGCTGAGCCCCACCCAGCCAGAGCCAGCTGTGAGAATCCAGATATTTCACCCCAACACCCCTAATATAGGTGATGCATTTACTCACGTGGCACAGCACTCCGTCTGTAGGTATCTCTGTCAGCTTCCCCTCTTGTGAGTCTCGCAGGTCGCTCACCCTCCAGACCTATGTAAATCAAAACACACTGTGAACATAGGGCAATCTGGGAACTCTGTCCCTTAAAGCCAAGAAAACTGGCATTGCTCTCCAGTTTTCACTGAGCAACCACTTGGTTAAGATGGGTTAATGGGGACAGGAACTCCTTAAACCTGTAACGTCAGCTAGAAACAATTATTTCTCCATAGAAACTTATTGACAATCGTGGCTGCAAATCTGCGAAGAAAAAAAAAAAAAGGCTTCTATTTTGTTTCAACATAAAACCATTTTCCAATTATTGGATCAATCTAGACATCCAGCTATTTCTATGAACATCTGAATAGCCAAACTTCTGAACCTGACCCACGTTAAGTGGAAAACTTAGTTAGTATATGCAAATGGAAAAGGAAGCATCCTAAGCTGAAAGTCCCAACTCCAATATTAAGTACATAATCTACGGGTTACCAAGAATCCTTTAGTTCCTCCTGGGCTTCTTCACATACCTGTTAGGCTGTGGGATACATATTAAGGTGGAAACTGTATTATTATCTTTTTTTGAGACGGACTCTCGCTCTGTCACCCAGGTTGGAGTGTGGTGGCACAATCTCAGCTCACTGCAACCTCTGCCTCCTGGGTTCAAGCAGTTCTCTCACCTCAGCCTCCCGAGTAGGTGGAATTACAGGCACGTGCCACCATGCCCAGCTAAGTTTTGTATTTTTAGTAGAAAGGGGCTTTCAATCTGTTGGCCAGGCTGGTCTCCAACTCCTGACCTCAAGTGATCCGCCTGCCTTGGCCTCCCAAAGTGCTGTGATTATAGGCGTGAGCCACCACGCCCAGGTTATTTATTTATTTATTTATTTTTGGTTGTTATCTTTAGTAGTGACAGGGTTTCACCATGTTGTACAGGCTGGTCTTGAACTCCTGGCCTCATGTGATCCTCCCACCTTGGCCTCCAAAAGTGCTGGGATTGCAGCTGTGAGCCACCACACCCTAAGGCACAAACTTTAAGAGCTACCTTTAAACAATTATCATAGGCCAGTGCGGTGGCTCACGCCTGTAATCCCAGCACTTTGGGAGGCCGAGGCGGACGGATCACAAGGTCAGGAGATCAACACCATCCTGGTTAACATGGTGAAACTCCGTCTCTACTAAAAATACAAAAAAATTAGCTGGGCGCGGTGGCAGGCGCTTGTAGTCCCAGCTACTCAGGAGGCTGAGGCAGGAGAATGGCGTGAACTCAGGAGACGGAGCTTGCAGTGAGCCAAGATCGCCCCACAGCATTCCCGCCTGGGCGACAGAGTGAGACTCCGTCTCAAAACAAACAAACAAAAAAAATCATAAATGGCCAGGCACAGTGGCTCATGCCTGTAATCCCAGCACTTTGGGAGGCCAAGGCAGGTGATCACTTGAGGCCAGGAGTTTAAGAACAGCCTGGCCAACATGGTAAAACCCTGTCTCTACTAAAATTACAAAAATTAGCCAGGTGTGGTGGTGTACGCCTGTGATCCCAGCTACTCAGGAAGCTGAGGCAGGAGAATCACTTGAACCTGAGAGGCAGAGGTTACAGTAAATTGGGATCGCACCACTGTACTCCAGCCTGGGTGACAGAATATAAACAAACAAACACACACACACATTAAGTAACTGTTTAATCAAGTATTTCCTCTACCCAGTTACCTTGGAACTTACCTAGAGTCTGTGTGATTAGAATATGAACTATGTCTCTTTTTTTTTTCGAGACAGGGTCTTGCTCTGTTGCTCAGGGTGAGTGCAATGGCCAATCACAGCTCAATGCAGCCTGGAGTTCCTGGGCTCAACCACAGGTGTGCACCACCATGCCTGGCTAATTTATTTTTTTGTAGAGACCGGGTCTCACTATACTGCCCTAGCTGATCTCAAACTCCTGGACTCAAGTAGTCCTCCTGCCTTGGCCTCCCAAAGTGCTGGGATTACAGGAATGAGCCACTGCACTCAGGCAGAATGAACTGCTTTCAAAGCAGAAATAAATCATGTAATGAGTGGCAAAAATAAATGTCAGGCCCAACTAAATCAGAATATATCAAGCACAGATAGGCAATGGCATTTTTTTCCCCCAGAAGATTCCAAGATGTAGTAGACAACTCTTGCTAAAAAGACGTATTATGGGCTGGGCACGGTGGCTAACTCCTGTAGTCCCAGCACTCTGGGAGGCTGAGGTGGGTGGATCACCTGAGGTCAGGAGTTTGAGCCCAGCCTGGCCAACAGAGTGAAATCCCATCTCCACTAAAAATCCAAAAATTAGCTGGGCATAGTTCTGGACGCCTATAATCCCACTCTCAGGAGGCTGAGACAGGACAACTGCCTGAACCTGGGAGGTGGAGGTTGCAGTAAGCTGAGATCGCACCACTGCACTCCAGCCTTGGCAACAGATGTCTACCTGATCACCAGAATCCCTTGGGGAACTTTCCTAACAAATTCCTAAGCTCCATAAAGTAACTCTCCAGGGCAACCTGGACCCTCTGATGATCACGTTTAGGAATCTGTGCATTTTGTCACTCCAACCTATGCTCTCTGCAGCTCCTACAGTTTCGTAACAAAGAACCATAACCTAGACAAAATACAGGCCAGGCACAGTGGCTTACCACCGCACCCCAGGCTGGGCAACAGAGCAAGACTCCGTCTCAAAAAAAAAAAAAAAAGCAACTGTAAGCCAGCAATGATCTCAAGAATCGAAAGATAATTCTCCTCGCACTACACATGCGTGCGTATCCTTTCACATCGTGGTATACGCCATCCGTTCTCCACTCCACTGTTTCTAATTTTTCCCCTGCTGGCAAGAAAACTACAAAACTCTTGTTTCTTTCAAGGTGGTAAATGGCTTTGCTTTGGACTTTTTGGGAAGCGTACAACACACTCTGCTGGAAAAGTTACTCAATGTTCTGTACCACATGTGTCTGGATGTTTGTACAGGTATGGGTGAAGAAAGCGACAGACTATCTGTGCTTAAGGCCATCTCACGGATGGCCTGAAGAACTGAGTCTAGTTCTATTCCAAGTCCCAAGTCACGGGACAAAGGTTCTAGCACTTGACCAAATGCCTGCAGGCCAGAGCCCTCTAAAGCTGACACCAGCTAAGAATGCTTCTGTCCCTTACACAAAAGAAACTATCTTCAAATAGCTGAAGGCATTTGTTTGGGCACCATACCTTTAGGCCGAGGCCTGCCAGTCTCTGGACGGCTACGGCGTAGGGTGGCAGGCACAATCTCCGGGGGCAGATGAAGGTAATCACGGAGATACTGGATACCCTCATTGGTAAGGTACCAGTAGAAATGTCTCCAGGCAAACTGTTCCTTCACGTAGCCTCGGGACTTGAGAGACTGTAAGGCAAAAAACTTACTGTTAAGGCATAAGTAGAAACTTGGATCATCCTAGACAAGTCTCCAGTCCCAGCCCTTCAAGTTAGCAAGCAGCCCCGGAAGTCCTGACCTCCCCTTTGGAACTTGCCTTGAACGTTGGGGGAAGATCCCTCCATCCCGTCCCAGTCTTCCTCCTCACCCTCCTACCTGCATGGCCTTCATGACATGAAGGTTGGGTACATTCTTGTCTGCCAGCTCCGGGTGCTTAGGCATGTGGACATCCTTCTTGGCCACCATGACTCCCTCCTTAAAAAGGAGTTCGTAAATGGCAATCCGGTTCTTCTTAGGCATCAACATCTGCAAAAAGGAGATGACTGTCAAGAGCACTTCTGAGTAACGAGGCCGGGGCCCAGTAATCAAGTTCGTGACCCTAAAGTCACCCACAAAAAACCGTAGGCAACATGCCGGTGGGAGGACTCAGCTTCACAGAACAGATTCGGCAGAGGCCAGCTCCGTCCCTCCCCATCCCCAAAAACAATTCAGGTGGAAAAGCTGTCAGCATGTCAAAACCGGCATAGTGGTGCACATTCGCGCCAAACTTCCTTAAGTTATCACAATTACAAAGGTCGATGGCGGGGTAAGAGGAGCAGACCCTGTATTATCGGGAGCAGCTGGAGGCCATCAGCGACTGTACCCAGCGCGGAATCGCGCGGCTGTACCATAAAGTACACAGGGAAGGCCCGGAGGAGTAAAACCCCGCTTCTTGAAGGCGGCAGACCCCAAACCGAAGGGCTAAGGCCTTCGCACCCTCGTTTCCTACCACACCTCCCCCAAAGTAGAGCTCCAGTGCCAGGCAAGCAGGCAGTCGGGGGAGTCCTGTCCCCAAGGAAAAAGGGTGTCGGCGGGACACTGTCTCCCTAGTCTCACCTAGCAGGTCTCCGCCACGCACTGCCTTCATCCTCCCCCTCTCCCTCGGACAATCTTCGCCTACCAGCGGCCCCCTACCCCATAAAATAAACCTCCAGCCCCTGTCGCTACTCAGAAATGGGTGTGTGGCGAGTGGGAGAGAGGCCCCCTGCCCGCATCCTGGGAAGGAGCAGCCGCTAAGGCGGCAAGATGGCCCGGATGGGAGCCGATGGAACTCGAACTCCACAGAAACTCACCTCGGCGGCTGCAGGGTCCGGGGCCGGGGCTGGAAAGGAAAGAGCATGCGCGGTGCTGCGTCTCTTCCGGGCTGGCGTGGGCCCGCCCC